CTCTTTCATCTTCGCATCCATCTCAGAAGATTCAGGTGACAGCTAAAACTAGCTCTTGGCTAATGATATAGTCAAATATTTTAAATATTCTGGGAAATAGGAAAAGATAGATTACTTCTAAGAAACGCTGATTTTTGTTCTGAAGAGCTCAGTTATGTTAACCTGCACACTCCTATATTAGTTCTGCACTTTGTTCCTTTCTATATATTTAAATAACTTCTGATACAGACAAGTGTTCTCGAACCTTTTCTGTTTGACATAGCATCTAACACGTAAATGATCACCCTGTTAATGTCTTGCTTTTTATTTACAAACAAAACCTTTAAAAGAGAATGTAACCTTTACAAGAGAATTGCAGACAGCACAGAAATTTTTTCCCCATCTAAGTGATCTATCAGACCTGCACTACTTGTTCAAATATGATCCGGTTTGGTTGTACCTGATAGTTTTCCCCATCTCTATAGCTTAGAGGAAAAGCATTGGCACCTGTTTATGCAGGATTTCAATCTGTTCCCAGTTAGCCAGGAGTCCTCCGATACGACACTCCACCAAAACATCTCCCATCCCTTGTTAGCAGCCTCCACAAAAAGGGAGAAGAGTGCCACCTCATCTCTGCTTCTGCAAGGGCCATTTCCTCATCCGGGCCTGGGATGATGTTTGTGCTCCTGCCACGCAGACTGTCTATACACAGGCAGCTGCAGTTCAAATTGTGAAGCACTGGCCAGGGGCATTGCCATATAAATTTCCAGTGACATCAAGGAGAAGGAGAGCCTGTCAGCAACCATTTCCCCCAGTGAGTAATAGGAGATCCTATTCCCTGAAAGTACACAGTCTTCTTATAACGCACCAAAAAAATCACAACGTCTGGTCTTTAAATGTCATAGACTACCCTCTTGTGATCCTCCTTGGTTTCCAAAGTCGGTAACATCAAGAATCAAAAAATCTAGGGCCCTCTATCTGACTAGACCACAGCTGACTGACTTTGGTTTTCATTTTTTTCTTTCTGAACTCTTCAGTTTGGCACCTCTATGGAAGACGAGCTGTAGCTCACCCCAACTGAAATTAAACTGCACAAGAAACGTGAGGCCGATGACTCGTTTCTCAGCATCATACAACCCTAGGCAAGCTGGGATCTAGCTGAGGGAGCAACCTCACCTCCATGGCTGCATCAGCATTCCCACACTTGTTGCAAAACTCGGGACACCTTTTGGAGAAACATATGGGAGACATTGGAGTCAACACGGTTTACCTTTCAGTCCTCCAGTGCATTTGTGGGTGTCTCTGTCCACAG